TAACCAGTGCAGAGTAGAGCGGAAGAATGACTTCTCATGTCTTGCTCACAACACACCTGTTAATACATCCCAGAATCACGTTTGCTTTTTTTGCAACAGCATCACACTGTTGACTCATATTTAGCTTGTGGTCCACTATAACCCCTAGATCCCTTTCTGCCGTACTCCTTCCTAGACAGTCTCTTCCTATTCTGTATGTGTGAAACTGATTTTTCCTTCCTAAGTGGAGCACTTTGCATTTGTCTTTGTTAAACTTCATCCTGTTTACCTCAGACCATTTCTCCAATTTGTCCAGATCTTCTTGTAGTGTGGGACCCAAAACTGAACACAGTACTCCAGATGAGGCCTCACCAATGCCAAATAGAAGGGAATGATCACATCCCTCGATCTGCTGGCATGCTCCTACTTATACAGCCCAAAATGCCGTTAGCCTTCTTGGCAACAAGGGCACACTGTTGACTCATATCCAGCTTCTCTTCCACTGTAACCCCTAGTCCTTTTCTGCAGAATTGCTGCATAGCCACTCGGTCCCTAGTCTGTAGCAGTGCATGGGATTCTTCTGTCCTAAGTGCAGGACCCTGCACTTGTCCTTGTTAAACCTCATCAGATTTCTTTTGCCCCAATCCTCTAATTCGTCTAGGTCCCCCTGTATCCTATCCCTACCCTCCAGCATATCTACCACTCCTCCCAGTTTAGTGTCATGTGAAAAGTTGCTGAGGCTGCAATCCACGCCATCCTCCAGATCATTAATGAAGATATTGAATAAAACCGGCCCCAGTACCGACCCTTGGGGCACTCCGCTTGATACCAGCTGCCAACTAGACATGGAGCCATTGATAATTACCCATTGAGCCCGATGACCTAGCCAGCTTTCTATCCACCTTATAGTCCATTCATCCAGCCCATACTTCTTTAACTTGCTGGCAAGAATACTGTTGATGGAATGAGGGTATTTAAATATATTTATGGCTATGTATCTCCAACAAATGGACACCAATTTGGCTCTGGGAAATGGGTATACCTTTCTTTAAATCCTGGTACTATACTAACAGAAATGGACAAGTGTTTGAATTATCATAGGGATATGTCCATAGGTAGCACAGGAGTTCACTTTGATTTTATTTACAGTTAATTGTTTTGAGTAGATGAATTCTTTTACATTTCATTTATTTTCTTTTGCTTGGGATAATGATAGTTTGAGATCTCCTTTGAGATCTGTGAATAAAAAGTACTATAGTATTAATTTTAGTTTTTAAATTGCTATTTGTATTTAAAATATTTTTTTCTTTGCAACTTCCAAATTTAATTTGTTTGGTTTCTGCTTCTTTCAAAAATGTATAATTTACAAAGAGATGTCAAAAAGCCTCGTGGAAAATGAAGTTGCATCAGAAATGGTCACTTTTTTCTTTTTTTATAAATTGGAAATTTTGGGTGAGCTTGATTGGTTGTGAACTGGTCAAGGAGAAATGCTTTATCAAAGTTTTATAAAGGCTGTTTGCATAAAAATCACAAGAAAAAGTGCCATAAGAGATACTCTGTTTCTCTGCTGATCAATAAGGTTGAAGGCTTCTATCCATTTTTCAGTGTGCCTATGATTTTATGAATGTGAATGTATTTATGTATAATTTAATTTAGAGTTAAATTCCAGTGACATAGGGGGAAAACATATCAAATGACAAATGAGGGAAGCTGTATATAATTTTATATTTATTTTCAAAGAATATTTTGAAGTAAGAAAGGCTTTGGTTTCATATTGTCAGCTTGACTGCAAATATTAAATGTCTTTTTTTTAAGATACGATTAATTGTAATTCCCATTTTCTAATGACAGTAAGATGCCACATCAAGATAATTTTTTTTTCCTCTGGACAAAGCTACAATACTCATTCTCCCCTTGCCACCAAGTAGTGCTTTACAAAAGAAGTTGCCATATGTACTCCTTTTCTCTCTACAGGAGCTGACTTTGTGTAAACTGTAATTTCAATGAGAAAGAAAATTTAAGCAAGCTTCTGACTGAAATTACGGGAACTCCTCATGAGAGATACATAGCAATATAAGATGAGCAACTGTGGGTTAAACAGTGTCTAGTGTTTATGGATGGAGAAGGAAAGGAAAACAACATCCAAAGCATGAGAATACTTTTTTAACCTCCACTCAAATGGTACAAAATGTGACAAAATGTGGTTATGACCCCCCCTCCTGAATGTGAGCTATTTATATATTTTGCAACAACATATCAATGCTAAATATCTTCATGGCTTGGAATCTTCAGACCCAATGAGTTGCATTCTACATGGGTATAAAATCCAGAGAAATTCAATGGCGTTACTCCCGTATACACTGTTGCAAAAGAGATCAGAAAGAGGCCCAGTGTGTGTGGTGGCTTCCAGTCCAGTTTTGCATTTCTATATGTCCTCACAGCATGAGGCTTTGTCTTTAAAGGCACAAATTTAATGTTTTATTGTCAAATCTATTTTTAAATTTATACATGGCAAGGGGACCTTCTGCCACGGAGCAATATAAAGACATTGTGCCTAGCAAAACAGAGAAAGATATCACTTAAGAAGATCGGAGTGCCTGAAAATATACACTATTGGCAAAATTCTCCCTTGGTTGTGCACGTGGCTCACACTGACATTAGTGGAAGCCATATCCCTCATTTACAAGAGTATCTGGCGCACATCTTGAAAATAATAATAATAGGTTCCCCCCAACCCCAGAGAACATGGTAAAATTACTATAAAAATACCCACAGAAGTATTTTCAAAATGAGATTTATTTTTAAGAGTTACTGTTGCATCCCAGAAACTTGAAAACCATATTTTCCATTAGGAAAACATTTCCCATACCAATGTATTCACTGAATTCAGTGTATTAACTTCAGAAACCACAGTTAAGCTTTCCTCTTGGGAACAGTACACTAATTTTTGTATACTGATAATAATGAAAGTCTTAAAAAAAACCACAGAGAAATTATTTTCCCAGTCATGTTTGCAATTCTTTACTCTTAGAATTACATAAGTCTCTATGTTATGACATTTAATTCCTGTTTTTACTTGGCTTTGCCAAGAAAAAAGAGTGAAGAATCTTCATATGGGATATGGCTCTCTCCCTTCAAAGATTCTGAAATAAGTATTTTCATAGGAATTCAGAAACTGACTTTAAAGTTCACAGGAACCTTCTAGATTTTCCTGTGCCACAGAACAGTATCATACTATGCTAGGATTTTAGTGCTATCTGCTTACATAGTGTAAGGGGTTCAACTGTAAAACTGTACACTTCTTTATAGTCTAAATCCAGAGGGTATACAAAAAGGAAATGGTGGTGGAGAGGCTAAAGAAAGCTCTCAAAGATCAGGAACCGCAGTCAAGCTAGGTGGTGGGAGGGCAACTCTAGAATGGGTGTGCAAAGGAATTCCACACTCCTTCCAGACAACAGTGCCAGCTCTACACATACCAGAAAGAAAGAGGAAGAATAGGGTGGGCCAGTAGTGTGACCACTTGGTTTACAATTATGCATTTCTAATGTCCTAGTATGAGGAGACTTTATTATCATTAATGCTACCAAACCTGGATAGGTGTTCTGTGCAGCAAATTGAAATTATTATTATTTACACACTTTTGGTAAGTTCCATACTCCACAGAAAACATTTTCCAGAATTAAGGTGAATCCTCACTGGTTTTGGACCTAAATGCAAAAGGCTGGTGCATTAAGGAATACAGCACAATTTAGACAAGAAGTAATACAGTGAAGCAAAGAAAGATAAACAGGTGCACTAGTGATGAGTACATGAAGAATGCAAAAAATGCTTTCCCTTTATCTTTTTAGTAGTTTATGTTTAACACAATACTGTATTGTATTTGCTGTTTTTTTCGTCTCCGTTGTTGCCTGATTGCATACCTCCGGTTCCAAATGATGTGTGTGGTTGACAGTCAGTTCGTAACTCTGGTATTCGTAACTCTGAGGTTCTACTGTATGCTTTTGTAGTACCTATCACAATGTGGGCCTCTAGCAGTATAAATAATAAATAATAATCTAATTTGTGATTTTTTTCAGATAAAATATTATATTTTTCAATATGTGCTGACAATTCATGTACTTACCATTATGTGACATGCCAACTGCAAGGCATTTCTGAAATCTGCAATACTGACATTTATTCCTGCTTTTCTTATGAATGCGACAATTCAGATCACATCTGTCATAGATTAGCTTTAACCTGATTGTTCTTCGAAAGAAACCCTGCAATAAAAATAAAGGCATGGGAAAGGATCAGTCTAAAACATCTTCCAGTGCCTCTGCCTCATTTGAAAGGCAGATTCCACTACACTGAATATATTGTAGCTACCTTTGTTTTAGAATGTGTGTTAGAACTTTCTCATTTTAAGATTCTGCACATTTTCAAAATATCAGAACTCATTACCAGATGTAAGAAAAATTCTATGGATCATAGCAAACCCAATCCACTCTCTGAATCCAGGAGTTTAAAAAAGAATGATATGCAAATACATCTGGATGGGTTGCACACTCTCTAGTTTAAAGAACTGCTGCTGGTGCCTCATGAAAAACATAAAATATTCCATGAAGAAAGACATTCTACTTCTGCATCATATATTTTCTGTCTTTATTTCCACAGTTCTTTTTATTGCATGAAAAACAGGACCTCATAAACCCCTGCTGCTTATGCCTGACCTGAACTCATACCTCTCTATAAATTACATTAGCATTTAATTTCCATCTTCCCATTCTTTTAATTCAAGCAAATCATTCCCCCCCAAGCAAATCATAAGATTGTGGGCTAGTTGTTGGTTTAGTTATTTTCTCTAAATAACTCTGCTTCTTCATTATTTTCAAATCTTTTTACTGTTGGTGGCCCATGTACTTACAGAATATTTATTTTCCTTCATTTATTCTATTTCTTTGGCTGTTTTTATTGCTAAACTATTTTTGTAATATTTATTTCCAGGATCTGTTTATGTTTGAAATGTTCAGTTTGCTCTTATTATTTTGAATTTACAGGTCTTCAAAATATACAAGCACCTGAAACTTCTAAAATTGGTATGATAGCCAGGATAACTACTGCAAAGTGCAATGTAGCCCTGTAAGGAGACAAATTTTTGCTGGTCATTATGGAAATTCATAATCTTGTCTTTTCAGAACACTTTTTTATTACTTGAAGCCTTATGGGGTTGAAACACAAGCAGAAAAAATATTTTGGTTTACATCGTTGTTTAGATTTTAGCATCCATTCTAAATTCTACATATAGATGAAAGTTTTTTGCTGGTTAGGAACAATGTAAATAATATCCAATGAATGCACATGTATGATTTTTAAAAAATTCCATTACATTGCAGCAATAGAACAGTCCAAAGGCAGTGTATTTCTTAATAGATTATTGTATTTGCTGGATTAGACTAGGATTGTCTTTGACTAAACCCACATGGCATGTGCAATATTTGCCGATAATTAAACTGCTGGTCATATCTCATGGTTTAGAGTTGTATTCTCAGATCATTCATATGCAGATTATTTTAATGAGGCATGTCCAAGTTTATTACAGTTCCTTCCTTGTTACAGCTAGTTTTTCTCACAGCTCAGTTGTAAGCACTATGCTGACTTCTTATTTATATATTTCACTCTGACCGTAAGTAATCGATAATAGATGTATTGCTCTTCTAGGGATTTCTCATAGATTCACAATTTAATCCTTTGAGATTTTGTTTAACACCAGAGCAGGTCTGTGCCTCTGTAATCCCCTATTACTGAGGACAGTGTAGCCCTACAGCACTCACTTATCCTATAGGTCTCGTATACTCTAAACATAGCTGGCATCAGTGGGTGCTTTGAAAGGGAGTCAATGAATTTTTAAAGTCATAGGGCCTGATTCACCAATGCCCTTCGATCTTGTGTAGCCATTTACAACTGTGCAAAGTGAGTATAAAATGCAAATCAGAGTAATATAGACTGAATATTAAATTGCCTAGAGATTGACTAAAAAATTAAATTGGGTAAGAGCTTGATCTTGCTTCCATTAGAATACATTCAAATTTTATGAGTGACTTCAATGATAGCAGGATTGGGACCCAATCTCTTTTCACTGACCAAACTGAGAAAAATTTGAAAAATAAATCAATAGCATAAATAACAAAAATTAAACTAGATTTTAAAATCCTTCCAATTTTAATATAAAGTTCTGTTTTTAATATATGAAGAGCAATTTGTTTTAAATAAATAATTTTTTACATGACAGTGCCCTTTTAAACAGAACACAGATCTCATATTTTATTGAATGATTCTTCAGAATCTCACAAGACCATACTTATGTATCCTTTGTGATCCAGATGGTTTTGCATATAATCTCTATGGATAGTAATTCCATGCTCAAATAATAAGAATATAGCAGTAGGGATATATTACCAACCACCTGACCAGGATGGTGATAGTCACTGTGGAATGTTCAGGGAAATTAGAGAGGCTATTAAAATAAAAAACTCAATAATAATGGGGGATTTCAACTATCCCCATATCGACTGGGTACATATCACCTCAGTACGGGATGCAGAGAAAAAGTTTCTTGATACCTTAAATCACTGCTTCTTGGAGCAGCTAGTCCTGGAACCCACAAGAGGAGAGACAATTGTTGATTTAGTCCTAAGTGGAGCACAGGATCAGGTCCAAGAGGTAAATATAGCTGGACCACTTGGTAATAGTGACCATAATATAATTAAATTTAACATCCCTGTGGAGGGGAAAACACCACAGTGGCCCAACACTGTAGCATTTAATTTCAGAAAGAGGAAATACACAAAAATGAGGTTAGTTAAACAGAAATTAAAAGGTACAGCGTCAAAAGTAAAATCCCTGCAAGCTGCATGGAAACTTTTTAAAGGCCCCATAATAGAGGCTCAATTTAAATGTATACCCCAAAGTAAAAAACATAGTAAAAGAACCAAAAAAGAGTCACCGTGGCTAAACAAGAAAGTAAAAAAAGCAGTGAGAAGCAAAAAGGCATCCTTTAAAAAGTGGAAGTTAAATCCTAGTGAGGAAAATAGAAAGGAGCATAAACTCTGGCAAATGAAGTGTAAAAATATAATTAGGAAGGCCAAAAAAGAATTTGAAGTATAGCTAGCCAAAGACTCAAAAAGTAATAGCACAAATTTTTTTAAGTACATCAGAAGCAGGAAGCCTGCTAACAACCAGTGGGGCCACTAGACGATCAAGATGCTAAAGGAGGGCACTGTGGAGAAACTAAATGAATTCTTTGCGTCGGTCTTCACAGTTGAGGATATGAGAGATATTCCCAAACCTGAGACATTCTTTTTAGGTGACAAATCTGAGGAACTGTCCCAGATTGAGGTGTCATAGAGGAGGTTTTGGAACAAATTGATAAACTAAATAGTAATATGTCACCAGGACCAGGTGGTATTCACCCAAGAGTTCTTAAGGAACTCAAATGTGAAATTGCAGGACTATTAACTGTAAATCAGCTTCTGTACCAAATGACTGGAGGATAGCTAATGTGACGTCAATTTTTAAAAAGGGTTCCAGAGGTGACCCCATCAATTACAGGCCGGTAAGCCTGACTTCAGTACCAGGGAAAGAGGTTGAAACTATAGTAAAGAACAAAATGGTCAGACACATAGATGAACATAATTTGTTGGGGAATAGTCAACATGTTTTTTGTAAAGGGAAATCATGTCTCACCAATCTCCTAGAATTCTTTGAGAGGGTCAATAAGCATGTGGACAAGGGGAATCCAGTGGATATAGTGTATTTAGATTTTCAGAAAGCCTTTGACAAGGTCCCTCACCAAAGGCTCTTAAGCAAAGTAAGCAGTCAAGGGATAATAGGGAAGATTCTCATGGATTAGTAACTGGTTAAAAGATGAAACAAAGGGTAGGAATAAATAGTCAGTTTTCAGAATAGAGAGAGGTAAATAGTGGTGTCCCCCAGGGGTCTGTACTGGGCCCAGTCCTATTTAATATATTCATAAATGATCTGGAAAAAGGGGTGAACAGTGAGGTGGCAAAATTGCAGATGATACAAAACTACAGGGAAACCCCGCTATAACACGCCCCGCGATAACACGAATTTGGCTATAACGCGATCAAAAGGTGGCTCCTAAATTTTCGTAACCCCGCTATACCGCAACCCCGCATTTATCGCGATTGAATTTTTTGGACCCCAATCACCGCGTTATAGCGGGGTTTCCCTGTACTCAAGATAGTTAAGTCCCAGGCAGACTGCGAAGAGCTACAAAAGGATCTGTCAAAACTGGGTGACTAGGCAACAAAATGGCAAATGAAATTCAATGTTGATAAATGCAAAGTAATGCACCTTGGAAAACATAATCCGAACTATACATATAAAATGATGGGGTCTAAATTAGCTGTTACCACTCAAGAAAGAGATCTTGGAGTCACCGTGGATAGTTTTCTCAAAACATCCATTCAATGTGCAGCAGCAGTCAAAAAACCAAACAGAATGTTGTGCATCATTAAGAAAGGGATAGATAATAAGATATAAAATATCACATTGCCTCTATTTAAATCCATGGTATGCCCACATCTTGAATACTGCCTGCAGATGTGGTCGCCTCATCTCAAAAAATATATATTGGAATTGGAAAAGGTTCATAAAAGGGCAACAAAAACGATTAGGGGTATGGAATGGCTGCTGTCTGAGGAGAGATTAATAAGACTGGGACTTTTCAGCTTGGAAAAGAGACAACTAAGGGGGGATATGATAAAGGTCTATAAAATCATGACTGGTGTAGAGAAAGTAAATAAGGAAGTGTTATTTACTCCTTCTCATAACACATGAACTAGGGGCCACCATATGCAATTAACAGCAGCAGTATTAATAGGCAGTATTTTTTCACACAACGCACAGTCAACCTGTGGAACTCCTTGCCAGAGGATGTTGTGAAGGCCAAGACTATAACAGGGTTCAAAAAAGAACTAGATAAATTCATGGAGGATAGGTATATCAAGGGCTACTAGCCAGGATGGACAGGGATGGTGTCCTTAGCCTCTGTTTGGCAGAATCTGGGACTGGGGATGGATCACTTGATGATTACCTGTTCTGTTCATTCCCTCTGGGGCACCTGGCATTGGCCACTGTTGGAAGACAGGATACTGGGCTAGATGGACCTTTGGTCTGACCCAGTATGGCCGTTCTTATGTTCTTATGCATATTTGAGTGGACACATAAAGAAGGTATGATTGCAAAGGACACTTGATACCACATGTGAAAGGAGGTGAGCATTGGGGTTTGTATATCACATTTTAGCTATTATTTAAATGTTTCTCCTTTCCCTCCCCCTCACCTCCTCCACAACTCAGTGCTGGTTTCATAGTGTGGCTTCTCCTTGTACTGTATGAAAAACTGTAATAAAATAATTAAAAAAACCCCTATCCAGGCTTGCTAAACAAAAACCAAAACAAACAGAACCTCCGCTCCTAGAGCAAAGACCAAATGCATGGGAGAGCTAACTGAGAAACTTTGGATTCAGAGCACATTTGGGAAAGACTCCCTATTTCTGAGAATTCACACAGAGTTCACAGCTAATCCACATGCTAACGGACATTATTGATAAGCACAGGAGAAATCCTGGAGGAATAAAATGATGCACCATCTGTCAGGGTCAGAGAAATAGCTGGGTTAAAACTAAAGGGGACATTACTAAGTTAGCCAAACTTACATTAATTAGGACACAAAATGGTGAATCTACTACTCTACACACATTCAGTGTTAGAACAGTTCTACTTGACACAGCTGATATGTTAATTCCATTGCCACTGGACCTTCAGCATATCCGAATAGTGTTGCTGTCTTTAATATTCTACTAAAATCAGTAGAATGGAATTCTTTTTCTAGGGACATTCAGCAGCACAGCTAAGGTGACCAACCTGCATTTCTTGGCAGCAGTCAAGAAATGAGAACGTGGAAATGATAGAATGTTCTTATTTCAGGCAGACATTATTGGGACAACCCACCTTACAACCTTCACATGCATGCACGCCATAATGAAATCCAGAAGCCTTGTCCCCACATACTCTGCATTCTATAGCCATGAGAGAATTGGAGGTCTCTTCAGGAGGTTTATTGTACAACTGAACTTTTTCTGAAAAATAAGGTGGGGAAGGAGGCTCCATTTTGATTGCACCTGCATATGTAAGAGATTTTAAAAGATTAATTCATCATCTGTTTTAAAAGGTCAATAAGATGTCAAGAAATAGTGACCAATACTTTCATTATAACTAACAACCACAGTAAATAGGGCCAAAAATTCTCTGTCCTGATTAATAGTAAAATAATGATAAACAGCTGTAAATATTAACTCCTTAAAAGGCTACAAGCCATAAGCAGCCATCTAGTAGATTGTGAATGAGGCTGAACAATTTTGAAGATGGCAGGGTCTGGTGCAGAAAGGGGGCTATTGATCCAGTCTTTATATTGGTAGTGCAGAATTGGTTGAGGTTGGGGACATCACTGTCCTCCATAGTGGGGACTTCATATTTATTCCCTGACATAGTAGCCTTCCATGAATCTTCCTCCCTCCCTCACTCTGCAAAGAGTGTGTGGTACTTACTACAAGTGTAGGGCAGCAGTAGCCCCGGGAGGCAGGGATTGGAATCCCTAATAAGGTCTAAAAAACAACTACTCACTTGAGCTACCCAGTTGGATAATTTGGTCAAATACAGATTGTGCTGGTGTTTTAGAGCCACTTCAACTCTTAAGAAACTTCACTCTGTATTGGGAAATATAGTTCAACCCCAGAGGCAGGTTACTGTTACTTCTGACCCCTCTGAAAATTACTAATTAGAGTGCCCTTTATAATTTTAAAACAGTTTAGCGAATACAAACAAATATGGCAACTCTTCATCAACTTATAGAGTTGGACATAAAAATGAAGCATTGATTTTAATAGATTATAAGATCATAGCAATATTACATTCCAGAAATAGGGAAACAGAACAACAAAGCAATAAAGATAATATAACAATAAAGCAAAAGCTTCCTTTTCAGTGGCAAACCCAGTATATGCTGTATGGATTAGGCTCACATTCATCAAGCTAAGTGTGTTATACTATTACTACTTTCTTTCCTAAGAGTTACCAAGGCTGTAGGGTTACCAGACAGCAAGCGTGAAAAATCGGGATGGGGGTGGAGGGGTAATAGGAGCCTATAGAAGAAAAAGACCTAAAAATCGGGACTGTCCCTATAAAATCGGGACATCAGGTCACCCTACAAGGCTGGGATAATCTTCTCATAATGGTATATTTCCTATTCTCCTAATCCCATCATCTTTGTGGTGCTGTATCTCTGCATGAAGCCTTGTCTGTGTGATTCCATTTTGCCTGCGTCTTGTTTGTCTTATGTGCTTTAGTGACAATGAATGTCTAGGTTGTGCATAGACATCTTTTATCTGTCAGCTTCTGCTCACTGTGGGGTAAGCCGTTACTTGCTGGTATTGTACAATAAAAGATGCTAATTTTTCCCCACAAAAGTCAAACAAGTACCTTTTTGCTCTCCCTGCATGGAGCAGATTCATGCCTACTGTTACTTTTGCACTTTACTTTGTGTGTTTACTGTTCGCATTATGTAAAATCTCTAGGGATGAATCCAGTCTCCAGTGCCATGCCACAGTAACTTTGATGGGTGCTGGGATGATCAATGGGAAGGGGGAGAGAGGGGTAAGAGGGCAGGAGTCCATCCCCAGGCTACAGAGAGACAGCCTATTGGCTGGAGTAGTTTCTGCTTCCCTAGCAGGTCCTTTAGAGGAAGTGGAGAGGGGCTGAAGGGTATATGTGTGGATGGATGAACTAGAGAACTTGAACATTGACAAATCTTCCAGCCCCTCCTTCAAAACAGTACTGTGTGTTGCTGTGCAAAGACCCTTCGGGGTGCAAGTCCCTGTGCTGCACAGATGGGCACCCCGCTTTTGAAGAGTCCTCCAAATCTTGCTCCCCAGCACACAGTAGGACCATACCAGTTCTGCTGCCAAGGGCTTTCAGACTTGTACACTTAGGGCAGGATTTGCCACTTGATGAATAATTAATTATAAAAAGAATAAGAACTGCTTATGATCATTGAACATTAACAGGAGGCACATGGCCTTAAGCAATTTTTTAATACAGTTTTTATGACATATTTCTAACTCACCTTATAAACAAAAGAGACAAACATATATAAATCAGAAACTCTGGATGTTGTTGATAAAGAAGTAAATCATTCTGACATCATTTTAAAGTATTACATGGGGCCGAATCCTAAAGTTCTCTCAGGGAAGTCAGTGAACATTTGCCTGGCCCATTGGCCTAAAAGATCAGTGGTATGATTGTCAGCAGGAGTGGCGTAACCATGTCCTTAGGGACAAGTCACCTCCCTTCCAGATGGGAAAAGTTCCATTTGGGATTTTATTCATAATTGTGAAGCTAGGGGCTGCTTTGTTTACATGCAACAATACAAAGGGAATGCTCACAAAACTCCAAGGGCCTGTCTACATTAGGAATATCTATGTAGTCATACTGCGGCAAATGTCTCTAATGTAGACAAGCTCGAAACCCATGAGCCTGTTAGCCATTGGGATGCAATGGGTGTTCTTAGCATATTATGTAATATGCTAGGAAATGCTGGCCAATTTATAAAATGTAGAACATCTAATTTGCTTGGTTTTTAATAAAGCTTCAAGGACATTTTACTCCAAGGGTATCTGGGAGAGAGGGAGATTCTGAAACAAATTCTAAAAAATCTTTTGTGGAGGGTACACTTCCCAGAGAATTAAACAATTCAAATTCGGACAACCTGAAAAGTGAAAAGAAACTGCATACTTTGGCATTCCTGGAGCTTGATATCATATTTGTAATCAATGGCTGTCTGGTCAGTTCTTGCAAGAGGAATATCTTCATAGTGTGGTGAAGAAATACTAGAAAAATCAACAGTGGTAAAGGGCTTTATGTCGAAGGAATGAGAGTGATCTTCCATGGCAGACAGATCCACTGGGCTAATTCCAAAATTAATGGGCCAAAACGGCATTTCTGTGTCGACCATTGTAATCCCTGAAAGAAAAAAAAGAAAGAAACAGACATTTAAAAAACTGCTTCTTCTCCATCCAATGAGGACTCAGTAGGCTCACATAATTCATGTTACTGTTAGGTGAATAATCTACACAGAGATACATACAAGATGCATAAAATAATTACTTACTTTAAATTATTAAGAATAGCTTAATGACACACATCCTGCTTTTATATTTTAAAAAATATTTATACCATGCGGAGGCCTTCAAGTTCTTACAAAAATGGATATTGCTAATTTAAAGGAACATGGGACATGATTCCCATGTTTCACCATTTTTTACATGGTGGAGTTACTGTTGATTTATACCAATCTACATGAGAGCAGAGTTATGGTGGTTTTGGTCTGCATGGGTTAATTTCTAACATTATCAGGCTCTAAATTGATTTACTAAGTATTCTGCCAGGTTTAAGCATCCAAAAATCCTAACAATTTAAAAAAATATAATTTTATGCTATGAAAAATATATTTGATATCAATATTATAGTACAAATAGCAGATAGGAAGTTTTCAAAAACATCTAAGTGATTAAGTCCCACTGAAGGCACTTCGAAAATTTTATCCTACATCCTCACAACCATGGCTCGAAGAAACTTCTTATTATGAGTTTCCATACCCCACTATGTTTCTGGGTTGCCACATTTTCTCTTAAGTTTTAATAAGAAAGGCCCAAATCAAAAGTCTAAATGTGTATAAGCCCTAAACAAATTGATATTTAGTTCTCAGTCCAAAACCTGCAGTTTGTCCTCTTCCTATCATGTGCTGAACTAAATTCCTTGATTTGAACACCTTTGAATTCCAAAGAAGTTAGAATTCCAATCTGAATTTTGCACACGGGGCCCTAGCTCTACTTTTTAGTGAGTTATAAAAAGATCTTTAGATTAAAATTAGAATGAACATCATGAAATTACAATAAAGTAGTCAGCATGGTATTTCATTTGGACTTGAGACTCATTAAAGTATATAGACTTTAAACTTTTATGTAATATGAACTTGTTTGACTTGGTTTACTTTGAACCAACTAATACTACTCTGTCATGCTGCCAAAAAGTCTGTTGTTACAAAATGGATATCATAGATGCCGATCTTCAATTTAGAGGAAACAATATGTGTTTCACAGATTGTGATTCTTTGCTGGTGATGGCTGCTAGATGTGCAGGTCTCACAGACCCACCTGCTTGCCTTTCTGTATAGCAAGCACTGACAGTATGTTTATGCTTCTTACTCCTAAACATTAGATGAGAGGGCAGAAGGTGTAACAGTAACTGATACAGAAAGAAGTGCCCTTCCAATAGCAGTGGTTCAAGGATGAAGAACTTAGGCAACTCCTTAGCAGTTTCCCCAGTTCCTTCCCCCAAAGTCTTACAAATTGCATGGGATAGATATATGGACCCTTATTCTAGTCTCAGTGAAAGCAGGATTGTGCCAATGGTAAACAAAGAATTTCTGACTAATTTCTCCAAGCCAGAAAAACCTTCTGAATATATAATCCTGGTTGTCCAAATGTTTAATTGGTTTTAAATGGTTCCCACAAAAATGTATTCTTCTTTCAGTGTGTATGGGATCTATACATGGAAATCAATCTTCAGATCAATAGGGGCATTCTATCTTCATTTTAGTTACACAGATTTCCAGATAAAAGCGTAAAAATAGTCCAATGAAAAGAATGACCACTTGTTTGTTTGGCTACCTGACATTTTTTCTTAGTTATAAATCCATTCCTTTAATTATTCCTGCCCACCTCAAAAAACCCTTAACACATGCTTAGGGCCCTATCAAATTCACAGTCCATTTTGGTCAATTTCACGGTCATGGGATTTTAAAAATCGTAAATTTCGTGATTTCAGATATTTAAATCTGAAATTTCACTGTGTTGTAACTGTAGGGGTCCTGACATAACTCTGAAGGCAGCATCATAGAAGTAACGGTGGCATAGTATGGCATTGCCATCCTTACTTCTGCGCCGCTGCTGATGGGGTGCTGCCTTCAGAGCTGGGCGCTTGGTGGCAGCCGCCACCCAGCTCTGAAAGCAGCACAGAAGTAAGGGTGGCAATACCACGACCCCCCTAAAATAACCTTGTGACACCCCGCCATTACTTTTTTTTGGGTCAGGAGCCCCAATTTGAGAAACACTGGTCTCCCCGTGAAATCTGTTCTTTTAACCTTCAGCAGGGATCGGCAACCTTTGGCCCGCGGCCCGCCAGGGTAAGCCCCCTGGCAGGCCGGGCCGGTTTGTTTACCTGCTGCATCCACCGCATGTAGCCACAGTTCACCGCTCCAGGCCAATGGGGGCTGCGGGAAGTGGCGTGGGCCAAGGGATGTGCTGGCCGCCGCTTCCCGCAGCCCCCATTGACCTGGAGCAGCAAACCGCGGCCAGTGGGAGCTACGATCGGCCGAACCTGCAGACGCGGTAGGTAAACAAACCGGCCCGGCCCGGCCCACCAGGGGGCTTACCCTGGCGGGCTGCATGCCAAAGGTTGCCGATCCCTGCCCTATACCATACAGATTTCACAAGGGAGACCAGATTTCACGATCCGTTTTTCATGGATGTAAATTTGGTAGGGTCCTATATATGCTTAACTTCAGCTGCATGCTAACTCTATCTCTATTCAGCAAAGTACTTAAGCACTGAAGATAATGAGATTTAAGCACATGCCTAAAATTAATGGGATTTAAGCACATGCTTAAAATTAAGCACAAATGTAAGAGATTTGCTGAACAGACATAAGCGTATGCATGTGCTTAAAGCTAAGGATATGCTTAAGTGCATCACTTGAATCAGGGCATATGTACATAGAACTGCCATCGAACTGTTGCATGCATGATTGAGGTTAGTGTTCAATAGAAAGGATTAAAATAAACTCCAAAGTCTCCATGTACCATTCATAAGCAATGCAAAAATATTCACACAATTTTAAGGGGGCACTATATAGTACTTTCAAGCTAAAGAGCTTCAGTTTGCAAATTGCTACAAGCTAATCAAATTTAACAGTAACTATATTTTTATGCTGTAACACAGTACATAGGCATCTCCTGAATTTAGGAAAGCAAGACAAGGATTTAGTTTTATGAATGTGACCATTCTCAAAATAAGACCACATGTGCTACCAAAACAGACCAGCTTCTATGTTTGATGACAATCCTGGCCTGTGTGCCATTTCCTTTTTGTCACATTTTGAAATCTCAATAGGAGAATACTCCTTACTCTTATAAACAGCTCTAGGGTTCATAGACCAAAAAGCATATATGGTTCAAGAAAGAGGCTGCTCTTTCAAAAAATCTAATAAATATGTAATGTGTACAAATATTTCAGGACTGAAGATACTGCATTCATCCTCCCTGAATTGCTTCTTTAGTTTTCTTTGTGTGCGTAAAATTTCTCATCCTGCATGAATATAAAGAATATGAGTCACTTGCATTCATGATACACTACTACCAATGCAAACTTACTACTATGTTGAAAAATGCACATGATTATCCACTGACTGGCTGTAGTGCAGTGTTTCTCAGTTGGTGAGGATGGTTCTCCCACCTCTTCAAGGAAGGTCAAAACTAGGGTGACCATATTTCCTTTTGCTGAATATGGGACACCTGGTAAAATTACTCATATTCAAGCGAGTTCAACGGCAATCAAATCAGAACTATGCAGTACAAATGTTCAAATTAACATCAAGTTGACTGAGCTCCTGTTAAAAAAGAAATACTGTGTAGTTGGATTCTTTTTATATATCTTCTTATCTTTAAGGCTTTAGGATTTACACGGGGAGGGATGACACACACACTCCCGTACACCTCTCTCACACAGCCGGGTAACTGACCGACCCTCCCTTTCCTGCCCAGCGCTCTCCACTTTCCATGTCTGGCTGGGCCCCTGGGATGGACCCTCTCCTGGTACGGGATGCAGGGCCGGCTCCAGGCGCCAGCCAACCAAGCACGTGCTTAGGGTGGCACCTTGTAAGGGACGGCACTCAGGGGTTTTTTTTTGCTTGTTTGTTTTGTTTTGGCGGGGCGGTGCTCAGGGGTTTTGTTTTTTTTTGGTTCGGCGGGGCGGCGCCTGGGGGGGTTGTTTTTGTTTCGGCGGGGCAGCACTCGGGAGGGTGTTTTTGTTTCAGCGGGGCGGCGCTGGGGGGGTGTTGTTTTTGTATTGTCGGGGCGGCGCTGGGGGGGTTGTTTTTTGTTTTGGAAGGCCGCACTTG